GGGATAACCAAAATGTCCCTTAAACCTTTTATGCTAATGACAAAACCATCCCTTTCTGAGGGGCCTTTCGCCATTGCTAGATCTTGGGAGCTTTTTTGGATGCTTGTGGCAGTGGTTCAAACGATCCATCATCGTAGTCTTGATGCTTACTTGATTCTAAAGACTTTGATGTCTTTTGATCGTCTTGAGATGGAATCTTCCCGTGGGGTAAAATCTGGTTATGTTGTGAACTTTGGTTGTCAATACAATGTGATCCATGGTGCTCCAAGTCATTATTTTGATTGAAAATTAAAGAGGAGACGGTCACAATTGCTTTGCACCAAATTTTGTTTGATTTGGTTCTTGCTTGAAGTATTTTTGAATTCGAGGGGCGTCCGAAAAACGGATTCCAGTGATCGAAAAATATTGCCTTTTTCAACCTTGGAATTTACGCTATCTAACCTTAGATTGTGTGCAAAAGTTGTACCAACTTGTAGCCCTTCGTGATACGGTTGCATCGGTCCCGACTTTGCTATGATCCAGTGTACGGATCTCAAGTTATCCCTTCACAAAGTTCGATATGTCTTTCTTTCAAAACTCCAATTTCTATGGTTTTGAGCTCATCTTCTCTCTAGAAAAGCTTTGGTTCTGGGTCACGTCATGGCAAGTGCCATAGTGACTTTGAGACCTGGCTTGTGTCTAAATTTGAGCTTGTTTCGATTCCAAACAAGCGACCTGTGGTTGCTTACAGATCATAGATGTGAAAACACAGCCTCCATGATCGGGAACTGGTTTGGTGAGGTCGCACCACAATAGTGTGAAACCTACTCGTTTGTAGTAATTTGGGCATAGAATGTTCCTGAGAGGTCCGATTGAGCCCAAATTTGGTCCCTGGGAGTTTTTCGATATTCTGGATGCAATAGTAGTGGTCTAAAATTGTTTTGAAGCTATTATCATATGTATATAGTTATAAGGTCTCTTTTTGACATGATAGGAACTGGTCTTTGGAAATCGAATTTTGTCCTGACCAGCAAAACTTATCTGAATGTGATAAAACTTTGCGAGCATCCTTAGGGTATCCCAAACTACCATTTTCACCCCTTTCAAAGCCGTTCTAGTACTTTTTCCAGGGTTACCCAGTTTTAGGCTTATTTTGCAGTGTTCTCTTAGTTTGGCAGTATCTTGGGTATCGACATGACCGGGTTGTTACTAGCTCTCTTCTTATTTGTATCAGGGATGTAAATACATTAAGAATGACATATAAAGAGAGAGAGAGAGAGAGAGAGAGAGAGAGAGAGAGAGAGAGAGAGAGAGAGAGAGTAGTAGTAGTAGTAGTTAGTTAGTTAGTTAG